AACCACCAGAACCTGCAAATTGTCCTTGAAACAAAAAAGGCCAACGATGAAGAAAAGAACACAATCGCCAACATACCTATCACAGAAAATATTCCTGAAACAACCAGTTCCTGCAAATAGGGTCTTGGCCGTGCTCGCGCCTTCAATAGCCGAAATGTCTATCACTGAATATAAGACTGAAACCACCAGTTCCTGCAAAGTTGTCCTTGGTCGTGTTAAAGTAGGAGTAACGTCGAAGTGGCTCAAGATCTTTTGGAGCGGTCCCAAGACAACCGACGCGGGTGTGTTGGCCAAGTAGAGTATCATGGGAGCAAAACCCAGATCTCTCTCTCTAATACCCCCTCGTCTCGAACCTCCGGCCTCGATCCACCTCTTGTCCCACATCACGAAGGAGCCAGAGATGTCCGCGATGTGTTGCCCATCCGCCGCGCTGTACCTGAGCCGGGGTCCACTGCATGTTGCGGCTACTCACAGGTCAGAAAACGAGCCACCGGGTTCCGAAAGGGCGCCCTTATTTGCAGAGGTCCAAGAAACTGGTTGGCTGCAACGTTGAGGATCTTGGCCATGCCTTTCCTGGTACGCCTTTCGGAGGCTCCGTGAGAACTCAGCGGAAACCCATTTGGGTATGAATTTCATCTGGGGACCCTTTGGTGGACATCATTTAGGTGGGCATTTGTGTCCACCAATCTCTTTTGAGGGGTTCCCCATTCAAACGCATAAAACTCATAGCCATTTTGGGGGTTCACTTGGCCCACCTTCGCTTTCGCTCACTGCAACCTTCTGCATGGCACCCTTGATTCAGACAGACCAATCACTTTCAGTGAGGTGACTCCCGTCTCATCTGAAATATCCAGAACATGCTCAAACAAAGTATTGCATCCCCCGTTGTTAGACCTAAACCGCCAGAAGCTGCCCAGATCTCCTGCTGGTGCTTCGTCGATCCGATGCCAAAAATTCGAATATTCGATGTGTCTTGTCATAAACCCCCCAAGCTCTTCCGGAAACCTGAAACAACCATTTACAAACGGTAGATTCCCAAATGGCCTATGAATAGACCTACTGGATGGAAAATGGCAGTAATTGAGGAACCACCAAGAAGTGCTTAAGTTTCAGATTCCAGGTTCCTCGAAGTCTGAGGCTATACGCGAAAAAACTCCACTTCCCATGTTGAGAATGTCGAATCTTGAAGCCAAATTGGCTTTAGATCCGCTTTGGAGCTCTTGCTTGAAGCCCTGCTGGATTCAATGTTTTTCAATCGAAAGAGAACCCTGAATCTTGAATCCACGTCGGATCCATATGTGCCCTTTTTGTGAAAATAGATATCCCTGGTAGTTGATTGAACCACCAGGTAAACCAGGAATCGCACGCAATTGTTCAACCAAATCAACCAAAAAGGACACCAGATGGCCCTGGTAGTTGATTGAACCACCAAGTAAACCAGGGCCCTCTATTTTTCAACTGACCACGTCGGATCCGTCACGTGGTCGTTTTTTTCCACCGGGCCGCCAGCTGCCCTGCAGCCGCTCCAGCAGCGCATCCGTGGCATCCAGCAGATGGTACTCCGTGGACAGTTTGGGCACCGCGTTGTCGGGCCCCATCAGCAGCCGGAAGGTCGTGCAGTTCCTCTCATGGGTATGGCTCAGAAATGGGTACAAGGCCCAAAATGGCTTGCCCTGGGGAATGGAACCAAGGACTAAAATCTGCGGTCCCCTGGTGGTCTAATTTTTGACCCATAGCCATATTGGAAGAAATCAGGCGCATTATATTGCTTGGGTGTGCGCAGAAGAAACCAAACTAGCTTGAAACCTCCGCAGGGTTGAGGAGTACCTTTATATAGTAAGATCGTAATTCCGCTAAGGTATTCGATTCTTTCCATGGGTACCAGTCGTCCAGGGACCAAGGAAAGGAAAACCCAAAGGACACCAAACTCAATCAATTCTGGGCTGTCCAAACTCATCCCCTGCTAGAAGTTCAACTTTTAGCGGGGTAAATGGAAACCAGCCATTAAACAAGAAAAACAACTAAAAACCCAAGGCACCGGACGGCTGGAACCAGCAAGAAACACATTCTCTACCCTTGTGCCTTGATCATGTTTTCAAAAACGGCTCGGAGCGACCTTCAGGTTTGGTCAACAGGGACACCAATATGAAAAGACGACTTGCGGGTACCCTGGCTCAAGAGTCACCTCCCTCTTGCAATCCTGCATGACTTCCCAGAAAGATGAGCTGGTAAGGCTAAGCATACCTTCGCAAGCCATTTGGCTATGTTGAAACAAGGAATCTCCTCGTTCTGATTGCTGAGTCATGAAAAACCGCGCTTTTGGGGTCCGACTCGTTTTTGGCACCCCATTCTTAGGTGGGAACCAACACAATGCAGGGCGAAGGATGAGCTCGGCACTGTACTAGCATGTTCAGGACATCTGCCAGAGCAAGCACGTAAATCCATGAAATCTGTGGTTCTCGTTTGTCACATGCAAGGAAGAAACAAAAACACGCTTTTTCCTGAAGGAGAATGGTCTTCCTTTTCGGGCCGGCAGTCAGGTAAGATCCATCGTCTTCCATTCCAGGACCCTTTGTCAGCTGGGAGGGAGGGTAAAGCCCTTTTTGCGCCGTTCTTGGCCGAGACCTCGCCTGGGCCGCTTCCGTACTGCGGGGTCCTTGCGCCAGGTTCGAGCGAAAATGAGTTTGTCTAAGGGCCAAGAAGTTGATGACCAGCAAAAAAGGCGAAAACGGCCTCACCTTGGGACCCAGAGTTCCTATGTGCGGAAGGGACATATTGGCCTGTCTTCTTTGGAGGATACCCCTTTTGAGGTTGGTTTAAGGAATTCCAAAGATACACAAAACTGCGGGGCCCCTTATTTAAGACACAGCCATCTGAGGTGGACGTTTGGACCATCCCAAGAAGCCACTTGGAAGAAAGCCATGGGTGTGCCTTTTGTGGCTTTCATCGGGCTTCACCGGGCTCCCGAAAGCGAAGCCTCCCCTCTGAGATCATACTGTGGATGGTGGCGAAAACCCTTTCGCAGCAGCGTTCAAGGAAACCCCGGAAGGAGTCGATTCCCCTTCAAATACCAGCAAACATCCCATGGTTTCGAAGTGGCGCCATCCACAGTAGGACCGCCAAAAACTGCACCCATTTATTGAGCCGCGCGCCAGCACGGGGAAGCACTGGAGGCAACGATGAGCTCAAAAGGGTCGAGCATGGGCGTCAGGAACCATTTGGACGTCCAAGTGTGCACGGTGGGAAATAACCAAGCCCTCTACCAAAGTGGCTCGAGCTGACCATCTTGTCACTTGACAGGGGCCTACCCGAAGACCATTTCCCCACCAGACTCGGAACTCCCTTGGGACACAGTTCCGTGATTGGAGCACGCGCTGGAAACTTTTCGGTGTCGGGGCAACACAATCTGAACTCCCCTATGACTGGATGTGTGTGTGTGTGTGGTTCGATGCTGGGAGACGGTTTTTAGATCTCAAAAGATGAATCTGAGGTTTGGCCTTTGGGTCCCTTTGGGAAACAAAGGGGCTGACAGTCGAAAAGAGTCCCGTTTGTCTCGCGCCAAGGGGCAATGGTTGCGAACATGAGTTGGACAGTGCAACAGGTGACTGCGCCCAACTGACTGAGTGGATTGGCCTAAAAAAAGTCTAAGCTTGTTTCGAATTTTATCTTCCAAGTTCAAATCAGCCCAGGCGAGCATCAAACGGGTTGCCCGCGGAACTGGTACACACAGGTCTCCTCCCCCCCCGGCAGACATTAGCAAAGGGGCAATCTCCGCCATGCACCTCTTGACATCCACGTTCTCGAGGCTGCATTCCAGTTGTCCGGGCTGGGAGCAGGGAGCAGCGCCCATGGCAGGCTTGAGTGCGGAGCAACGCCTGTCCCCAAGCCCCTTGGCAACGGTCCCTTTTGGATGGTCTTTGGGATGGTCCCCTGCCGAATGAGCTTGGGGTCACTGTGATGAGTTGACGACGGAAGTGACTGTTCACATTGGTTCTTGGTCCATCGCACGACAGGAGTTCTCCTACTGGGTCTCGATTTTTTGGGGGGACCCCGAAAATGCGGCAACGGTTTTCCTTTTGGTGTCCCTTTAACACCAAGCAAGGCTACACGCCCAACTTGAGTTCCTTGCAAAATCTGTCCCCGCAGCGAAGGCACTAAGCGCTTTGAGCCAAAAGGGCCCCAAACCAGCACACAAGCCAAAAGTGTGTCTCAAAATAGAGGACCCCCATTTCTTGGACGCTTTGAACGGAAACCAAGAGAAAACCGAACGCGCGATACGTCTGTTTCTAGGGCGTCGAGGCCTTTGCCTTAAAATGTCCATCCACCGTTCTGGTCAAAGACCAACACCCATCATGTGGGTGTGTTGATTCCTGGAACTGGTAAAGCTGCCCCCACGGTCTACGCTGGCTTCCAGCGGATACCGGTGGATTGCACTGGTGTGTTTTGTCTCTTTTGTGTCTCCCCCGTTGACGGCTTTGGGCTCTACTGGGAATTGAGCCAGGTAGGCCTCACTATTGTGCTCCTTATTCCTTACTAAACCAGCCAGCCGAAACCACGACTCCGCTGGCAATAGGGGCTTTGGCCTGACTCCATTTCAACTTCAGCTCACGGACTTCAATTTTCAATTTGATCGCAATCATTGAATTGCCTCTTAAAGTGGCAGCTGATGGTTTGAGCCAAGTGGCTGGTGGATATTTCGACAACCTTGCCTCATACACCTTCCCCGCGTCCCGAGAGAAACCACTGGCAACAATGTGCCTATGTCCCATTTCACCCCAAAAAGTCGGACGTCGACGTTGGCACAGGTGACGTCAACCCTTAAGTGATGTAAGAGCCCCTCAACTGAGAAGCGGTCGCATCTTGGGCACCCATTCGCTTTTCCAAGCCCAAACCTGCTTTACCTCCATTTGCCCTCCTGTATTGTGCTCCCCCCCCCTCCAAAGAGAAAAGCAAGTTGGAGTCGCAAAAATGGTTGGGGCCCCCATCTTCAGCCCGGGCACTGGTGTTCTCTGGCCGTCGGCCGGGCTCTCCGCTAGGACCTGCCGAAAGCCGCGGAGACTGATTTGGCCCCTGGACACCTCTGACAGGGTTGGAAGGCACAGGGGCACAGGTTGGTAGACATTTGGCCGGTAAGGCGGAATCAAAGGACGCACCAATGTCTACCCTTCTGCTTGGGTCGTGTCAAGGCTCGGAGACCAACCCGAAGGGGTTGATGACCCTGCCCAAAGGCTCACCTCTGGAGAGACCTTGGGGCGGGTTGCGAGGCAGGGGTCCTTTTCGGGCGCTTGGCCTCAAAACCAAGAGGCTCACGCAAGAATCGAATCGCTTGAGGTTGGGTTGGCCGAAGGTCGACCCACTCCTCACTTAGAGCACCCTTTCTGTTGCATTGGCGTCAAGGGACGCCCAGCCAAAAGCAAAAAGAGGCGTTGGGCTCATTCAAAAAGCCAGAATCGAGGATGCACAGGGTGGAATCGTAGGGTGCACTACTTAGGAATTGAAGAAACTGGCGAGCTCTCGGGTGAACAAGGCGAAACCTGACAAGAGCAGGCGCCAAGAGTCACAAAACCCGGTTCCTGTGATGGGTCATGAGTCTGAAGACACTCTGGGTCCGAGTATGCGATCTTGCTTCTGTTTGTTTCTTGGATCGGAATCTGCAGGTTTTGGTATGGGATTAAAATACCAGGCACTCGCTCATCTGCCACTTCTTCCAAGTCGGGGGATCTCTGGGGACCCTGGTAACTTTATGGGCTACCGCTAGCGGCGATCACGAGGGGTCGAGCCCATTTTGTCAACCCTGCGAGGCGAAATTCGCATTTCCGAGACCTAACCCAGTCAACCGGTAAAGGGACTCTGCAAAATGACCGAGTGAATTAGATTATTCCATTTGGTAACAACTCCCACACGTATACTGTGTTTTTGTCGCCTCAAGGGACTTGTTCACCTGCGCCACGGCTTGCTCGAAGGTGTGGGAAGAGATTCTAGGACCAACAGAAGCCCGCTTGGGCCCTCCACGAACCTGCCATAAATAGAGCTTTCCTTCAAGAGGCCGCCGAGGAAAAACGACCAAATGTTGATCCTTCGTCTCTGGGTAGCCACACAGAAAAAACGTGGACTCGTTTCGCGATTTCCTCGGGTCGCACACCGCAGGGGAAAAGCCACACTCGTCCGCTTTGCCTGCAAGCTCGGCAGCTCGTTGACCCTGCCCGGGAGTTGGGTAGGCAGTGTGGGGCCAAATTTGGGCTTCCAACGAATTGAGTGTCTTTTTTGGAGTTGGTCTCCCCTGTTGTGCTGGTTTTAAAGGGAAACCAAAACAGGAAAACCTTCATTGAGGGGGGGCTGCAAAGATTTGCAGCTGCAGTCCAACCTTGAACATGCGCTCATTTGTCCAACAGGACTAGGTTCTTGGAGATCACCACTGACAAAGCTAAATGATTTCAGCATCTTAACGGCTATGCTACAAACCCCGCAACAACCTCAAAATCCACAACCCACAATCCCCCTCTTTTGAAATTACACGCCAGGGCCTTGGAGTACAGCGCGGTTTGGAACAATATGGGTGTTCAACCTGTGGGTTTCCCTCAAGAGGCCAACAAAAAAGGTCTGGGTTCCTTATGGTAGCTACCGCTGCCTTTGTCCAAACCCAGCGGTTTGGGGGATCAAATGAGCCCCCAGCTTCCGACCGGAACTCGCCCGATCATTGAAGTGGCAAACTGGCCGGCCACGATTCAGCTGGGGTCGGACTTGGAACCTACCCCTTGTCACTTCGAGATCGGAATGGGTCCAGTCATCCAATCCCCTCGCCTATTCTGGATGAGCTCTCAGTGCGCAGTTCCGAGTCCAAGAAACCCATCCCCAGTGAAGCCAAGCCAAGCTCATCGCATAGGCGTCCAATGCGGACCACACCCACCTGTTTGCAGAGAAACAACTCCCCCCTTACAGAAAGCTGCTTGCGCTCGCAACATTTGGGTGTGTGCTTTGGACCAATGCGTGGAATCTGTCCAGCGTTCAGCGTGCTTCTCCCAGTGAGAGATCCGTTAAGATTGGTTGATTTCCGCGTGGTCAGCCTCAAGCCTATCCATCCCCATAAAACCTAGCTAAAAAATGGCGGGCCGCCGGTTGAAACCATTTTGAAACATTCTAGGCTTCCTCGGTGATTGTCCCTGAACCAAATAGTATATCTAATTCTAGTCCATATTCGCTGCAAAATCAGTTCCAAACATATGCATGGGAAATTGCAAAATATCTTGCTGGGACAAGTGGGCCCTCTCTCTGCATTTGATCCTGGGAAACAATCTCCAGGCAAGTGGAACCGAACATCTACTTAGCGAGGATGACCCGAAGCCCCTGAGATGTGGATCGTTCGATTCCTTTCGCCTGGCCTCGAAGGTGTTGGGGCGCCCGTGTCGCACATGTCGCACCTGGTGCCAAGCAACGGATCTCAGCTTTGCCCCGTGCCCTGTGTTCGCCTCAAACTAGGAGAGGCCCCAAACCCGGGTAGGATCAGAACCTGTCAAATTTAGGAGGAATCAGAGTGTTTGCTTTAAGTCATGCCTTTGATACTGTCAGTGCTTCAGAGTTTGAAGATAGAACCAGCTGAAGATTTGTTTCAAGCTCATGCATCCCGTGGCAGGTGCCAAGCGCAACTCAACCGATGGATCATCCCAAGATATCTCAAGCAGGATTTCATCTAATAGGAACCACCTGGCCACACATCAAACTCAAAGGGTTCCCAGAATAGGCAACCCCGCAAAACAAGGCAACGGTTTTTCTTGCCCCTGATCCCTCTTTCGGGCACCAGGGTCACGCCGTGAGCACCACTCCTGCCAGCACCTCTCTCTGACAAAGATCAAGAGATACACATGGCATTTGAACAAATGACGCTAGAAATCTTTGGCTCTTTGACTGAAATCTCGCCGCCTGCTATGACTGTTGGCATTCCCCCTCTCCCCGCGGCTCATTCATTCGCTCATTCATTCGGCCACCGTCCCGGAAAGGCGCCTCAAGGCCGGAGGGTCGGGATCGACAGGATCTTCCATGGCCTCAGGGGATCTCGCTGCACCCGACTGCAACACCCTAGAAGCGCCACCCCCCCCCCGAGATTGCTCCCACTCTCGACATCTCCCACTGGTCCCCCCCGATGATTGTTTTGCAACAGAATTATCTTGGAGTTTGGGCTGGTTGATTCAAGTGGGAAAGGCTGTGTCTGTGTCTGGCTGACTGCTTGCTTTGCCTTGCCTTGCCTCGCTTTGCCTTTCATTGCGTTGCTTGGCTTGGCTTGCCTTGCTTTGCTTTGCTGTGCCTTGCCTTGTGTTGTTTCTATGTTTGTTTGCTCCCCCCTTAAAAGAAGAGCAACACATTCGCTGGGGAGGTGGTTTTGCCACTCTGCCCTGCCTCTTCTTCCTCCAAACGCCTCGCGGTGGGCGCGCTGAAGTTGTCCGGTGTGAAATTCCCCACGCCGTCAAAGTAAACCTGAGTCGAGCGGCAGTTGAACACGGCCAAGGGCCCTATAGGCAGTGGTAGGGGGCCGGAAAGCGGGCGCCTGTAGACCCTTTGAAGCGCTTTTTGCATCACTATGAGAAGTTCCTTGTTACAAGCAACTCTCGAAGAAGAAATTGTTGCAACACTTACGCCTACCAAGTCTTCTTCTGCTTGCCTGCTTGCCTCCTTCAGAGTTTCGAGTTTTCAGGTGCAGGTTTTGGGATGTGGGAACAATCTTGAAGCAAAAAAAACCCTGCCAAAAATATGAGGGAAAAAGAAGCGGAACTGCTTTCTCCATCCAGTCTCTGGCTTCATTCCGGGAGGCTGTGGTGTCGGGCTTGTACACCAAGTACCCAGCATCCCCATCGGCATAGTTGGAGCCTCCCAAAGCCCGGCCCCGAGAAATCTCGGCCGAAATGGACTCATTGATGTGAACACCAAGCAGCTTGGTTTACATCGGCTCGCTATGAACCATATTTGAAGACGAGCTTGTCATGTGTGACGCGCAGGCTCAAGCTCATGGTTGTTTGGCTCACCGCCTGAAGTGGAAAAGTCAAGTGGTCTTTGTGGCCATGGATCATTTCGCTGGCGCCAGCGCCTGAGACGCCGTCGATGTCGATGCAAACCCGGTAGCTCTGACCCGCCTCAGAGGCACACAGGCAGGTGATTACCACCACACAGCCCTTTCGGAAAACCCGAAACCCGATACAAACCCCCACCACCCCCACCCCCTCAGAAAGATCACCATCAGCCCATCAGCCAGCATCACCCCTCTTGGCCATGGGTCAAAATCCAAATCGTACCCCCAGTGAACATCCCAATCCAACCACTAAAATAGGTCCTAAAATGAGTGGTGAATTCACCAATCCCAACCAAAATGGTCCCATTGGTTTTGACCACCACAGCCTCTTAAGTTGGCCAAACACCAAGCCTCCACTTGGCGCGCGTCCAGGACGAAGAAGTAGGCACCGCGGCCTGGAGCCCAATGGACAGCACCGAACGGAAGACGAAGAGGGGCGTCTAAACGTGGATCAGCGAAAACGCTGCACCCTCCAAAGAATTATATATATGGTACTCCCCCCCATGGACCCTGGTTTGGTGTGTTTGACCTGTATTTTCCAGTGTGTTATGCCTTTTGTTTGCTTCTTGGATTTGTGTCAAAATTGGGGGGTGCCATATTCATATACAATATGCATGCATGCAGACAGATGTGATAAAAGCAATGACATCAGCATCTGCAATGTGAAAGAGTTTGAATGCATCCAGAGTACAAGAGCAACTTAGGATGAACAAAAAACTGGATTCAAGATTCAAGAATCTGAGAAAATATGTCCTGGAAATCTTGAATCTTGAATCTTGAATCCCAGATTGCTTTTTTTTTAAGAAAAAATATGTTTTAAAGGTTTCAAGATTCAAGAATCTGAGAGAATACTTTCTGGGAATCTTGAATCGTGAATCTTGAATCCAGGATTTGGTTTAAACAAATTCCGGGGTCGTTTCAATACTCTCGGTGTTCAATAAGATTATCGGAAGAGGTTTCCGTGAAATAGTTCAATCACGAATCTTCAATCCAGTGGTAAAATACGTTCGAGGTGTTAGAACAACTTGAACATTTTCAGGGATTGACCAGGATACATGGTTCTCGGGAAAGTTGTTGTTTCTGCACTCCTCAATATTGAATCCTCAATCCAGTGGTGAAGCACTTTCAAGTGTTAGAAGAACTTGAATGTCGTTGGGGTTTGTCCAGGATTGTCAATTCTCAGGAAAGTTTTCTGTGTCATCTTCCATCTTGAATCTTCCATTGAGCGGTAGAATACTTTTAAGTGCTTAGCGATCCAGTGGAAACAGCTTCAAGTTATTGGTTAGACAAACTTTCAAGTGCTTTGGTGAGCTTCATGTCAGCTATGCTCATGTTGACCCTTTTCCAGGAGGTAAATTAAGGTAGGTGTAATGCTCAACTGCACTGTATTTTCCAGTATTTTATAAAGGGGCCCAGGATCATTAGGGATACTATATGTATGTGTATGTATGTGCATATATAGATGTACATATGTATGTACATGTACACACTGTCACCCCCCCTCTTGAACTACCTGTCCAATTGCTCATCTACTACCTCCACCTTTTTAAGGTGTAATGTTTTTTGTTTCCTGATCAAATAGAACTTTACGTACAACTGATTTAGCTAGAATCCCTGTTTCGAGATAGTCTTAGAATTTGAACCTCTCTTCCCTTGACATGCCCCTTTGGACCGTCTAACAAGTTCAATGTCGGACCTTTCTACAAAAGGGCCAGAATGTAAATAACACAAAACGTATTTTGAATTTCCTCGTAGAAGCCCCATAAATGATTAGCCATATTTAATATGAACTACACCTGAGAATTAGTCTCTATTTAATTGTTATTATCAAAAGCTAATTGAATTGTGTTCGTATTAGATCATACTTAACACTTAACACTTAGATTGTATTTGAGAAGAAGCTCCTATCTAACTTCTTTTGTTAAAGATTAGTTTAAGTTTACCCGAAACTATATTCACATTTTCATGTAGCTCCTATTTGGAAAGGATTTGCATATCTAAGCTGTTATTGAACATAAACATGTTTGAAAACTATATCCTTACTCAACTATTTTCAACATTCCAATTGTAGTTGAAGTAAAATCCTATTTGGAAAGCTGGACATTATCAAGAACTCCGGGCTCCAAATCAGGTTTTGGTGACCCACAATTGGACATTTCGAGAGTATAAATTTTGAGATTCTAGATTTGCCATCCCCAAAAAGCAGTAAAACCAGGGTCCATGGGGGGGGGGGGGTAGCATATATATATATATATATGTATACAGTACACATATATATATATATATTATAAGATAGTCAAGAAGGGGGTGAGGGTCCCCAAGCAGATTGGAGGCTTCCCATGTCGGCCTCGGCCCTCTGAGAGCTGCAGCGCATCCACGCCGCCCCGGAGGCGCGAGGGTCGCATGTCCTGCGACCGCCGGGGGCCCGGCCCGGCGGTGTGCGGTGTCCGGGTGTTGCATCGGGGGCCGCGCGAGGCCCATGAGCGAATCTTGACTTAGTGGGTTTGCCGAGAAAAGAAAAAAAACATGGGAAGTGACATGGGTCAAAGCAAAAAACATAAACATGGGTCAACTTTAAACCTTGACCCTGAGCAGGTCTTAACTTGTGGGTCAAGGCTTGAAGTCCATGGGAAGTGACCTGGCAGCAAAATTTGCTCTTGATGGACCTAAACACCAAGTCATGCCAGGGTCGCCTCCTCGAACGTGTTTGCAACCACTGAACGGAGTTCCTCATTCTGAGAGAACCTCCCAAGGTTGTCAAAGATTTGCAGCGGTCTCCTGAAATCATTCATCAAGGGCAAGCTCATTCCCCCAAAGCAAGCTCGTTCTGCAAGATCTCCTGTGGGCGTCTATCGACAAATGGGATAACCCCCGCCCCCCCGCCAAAAAAAACAAAAGTGTTTCCTCGGGTTTCCCCTTAAAACAGGACCTAACCTGAAAAGGATGTGCTCAAACAAAATACACTCTCTCTCTCTCTCTCTCTCTCTCTCTTACAGCGCGCGCGCATGGTGGGAATGGATATCAAATTCACCGGTCCTTGGCCGTGGGCTGCCCCTCAACTTGCACCCACAAAGTGACCACCTGCGCGGGGAGATGCAACGCGCAAGAGACAAGCCAGGGGCATATCTTCAAAGTTGTGTTTCAAATACAGGATGGATATCAACATGGTTATGGGCCGTGAGGGACCAAAGCGAGGAACCGCACGGGATGGCTGCCTTCTATTTCCGCAAAAGCCAGCTTGGCGTAAGGCCTGGGCGTTGAGCCCAAATGTCAGCGGCATCCTGCCGCACTGTACGACTAAACCTGAGTGAGGACCTGCGCATTGGGCCTGTGAGAGGACCCATGCCAATTGCATCATTTCTCATTGACCCAACTATTTTTTGTTGGCGGAAAATGGGTCACTCACAGCCGCTCAGTCCAGGAAGTGTACCTTGATGGAAGAAGGTAACCAGGAGAGACACGGTCCGTCCAATCATGCCGTGGGGTTGGCTAGGCTGCCGTACCGCAAGGCATCCTCCAAGCGCCTCCGCTCGTACTGTCCGGTCTCGTGCTGGAAACGCCCAAACGTGGTGCGGAGGGGCAAAGACTCTGCAGAAAACCGGGGCTCAGGCGTCCGAAAGGACTTGGCTGATGTAGCCACGTTGATGCCGACACCGGCTCGCGCATGCCAGCCGCGTTGTTCCCCCAAGGCCATGAGGTGGGCAAGTATCGGATCATCTCCGCCAACTGCATCTCCAGGAAGCACTGCGCATGCAGATACCTTAGGAACTTTCTTGGCCGCCTTGTGCACCTGTTTCACAAAGTCCGGGGAGTAGGAAACCGACCAGGGACCGGTCTTGATAATCTTCCTCATGTGAGTCAAATCCATGGCCTTGGTGCCACCATCGACCCACATGTTCTCCGTGGAGGTCCACTTGAGGGCTGTGTTAGGACGCCTCAGGAAGGCACGCATCCAAGCCACCGTGAAGGCCAAGGACTTCTGCGAGCCATAGCTCGCGGTGTCCGAATTGGACTTGTCGTAGACGTCTTTCGCGTCCACCACCACCGTCAGGCCCACCGTGTCGATGTTCCTCTCGAACTCCTTGCCGACCACGGACTTGCCCTTGAGCGAGGCGAAGAAACCCCTGCACAACTGCCCAACATCGAAGGCCTCTTCGGCGCTGAGAGTCAGCTGCATAGCTGGAGCGACATACACGGGGAACCCTATGGCTCCGGGCATCCAAGATGTTAAACCGGCCAGTCTTGCCGTTCATCAGGTCGGCGTCTGCAACCAACACGAAGTAGCAGGCCTGCGAGAAGACCTTCTCCAGAGGCGCCGCGCCATCAGTGCCAAATCGAGTGACATTGCCAAGAGCTGCATCTGTCACCACCATGATCCCAGCCTTTTCCCAATCCAGCGGCCTGAAAACCATCTCAAAGTTCACATCCTCCTTGAAGGCTTGCACGGCGGAATTCGTCCTGATGGCGGTACCGACCGTGGGCGATTCGCCCTGCAACGACGACACCACATAGGACATGTCGAATCGCAGCTGTGCCACCAGCCATTGCAGCGAGCCCAGCAATGCTCGAAGTTGCCGAACTTCTGCAGGAGCAAGTAGGGCCATGGGATCTGAGCGTCGATGACGAGACAAGTACATCGGCTTGAGGTATTCAACCATGCTGAGGCGGATTGTCCCATCCTCTGCCCGACGGATCTTCTTTCCGCACCAGACAAAACATGTTCTTTCAAGGCTGCCAAAGCCAAGCTCCTTGCCAATGTCGTTCAAGCTGCGTTCCGCCTCCGAGTCACCGGTGAACAACAGATCGTCCACATGAGCCACAATCATGCCCGTGAGCTTGCCGTTCACGCGTCTCACCCAGGTGGCTCCATCGAGCTCAAAGCGGGACCAGCCATTCTCAACTAAGCATCGGTCCAAGCGCAGCCACCATTCTCTTGGAGCGTCAGCAAGGCCGAAAACGCCCTTGAGCACTCTTGCCAGACACCCGTCCGGAATCGGGACGGTCGGACCAACATTGGGGTTGGTGCCTGTCATGTAGAGCTCCCGCTGCACATAGGGGTCGCCCTTCAGGAAGGCTGACTTCACATCTGCCGAGATGAGGGCCCAGCCGGGGTGAGCGCTCGCCATGATGAAGAGCAAGTGCTGCGAGATTCTCGAATCCGTCGGAGCGTCACGCCTCAATCGCCCTTCCAAGTTTGCACGGTCACGAAAACCAGGAACAACCATGCGGGCACTGGCGAGCAAAGGGAGTGGATTGGTGTCCGTCCGTAATCCGTCATGCTTGTCGGTCAGGACAAACCGGGGTTGAAGAATCCGGTCCAGTTCACCGCGCCTGGCCAACTCGCGCTTCACCGCACGAGACTCCTGAAGTGAGAGGACCTTGATGGCGTTGTTATCCACATTGGCCTTCCAGTTCTTCACGGCGGCCTCTCGAAACGCATGTTTCGTGGGCTCCGGCATGGGCTTCCAGGGGTACTCCTTTCTCGCAGTCTGGACCGCCGCCACATTGTGACAGTCACCATTGGGAAACTTCTCACCAAGCTCCCGCATGAGGTTCCATTCAGCCTGGCAAATGTGAGACCATCTGCCATCCCAGCTCCCATGATCAGCATCCAGGCACTCCAGCGGATGTCGTCGATCATTTTCAGCAAGCGCTTGTAGTCGAAGTAGAGGATGCACACCATCAGTCTCTGTCGCAATGCGGTCAATCTCAGTTGACGACATTGTCAAGGCCTCGAACGCGGGCTGCGACAGGTTGGGGTCATCCGGCAGTGAAGCTGAAGCCACAGATTCCTCCTCTCGCATGCTGGACGCTGGGCGAGAAGATTCCAAGTCTTCACCAGGTCGTTTCAGTCCACGCCCAACATCAGGGTGATCCTGCATCTGTGCCCTTTGCAAAGTGCTCGCGAGCCTGTCTCAAGAAGATTGACCGGCTCGAAGGACTAGATCCGGTACTGGAGTGCCAGGCATGGCCGTTCCACCCTCCACCGAGTCCTGAGTCAGCAGTGACGTCCGCGCCGATGGAGGTGCCGAAGGCAAACTCGTCGCAGACTGCAGCGCAGCGACCACTTCAGCAGGTGACAAAGCAGGAGCACCTGATTCACCGCCGGCGACGGGGTGAGGTACAGCTGAAGGAACCGGTAGAGCTCCATGAACAGCCGCCTCTTGGCCAGGTAGTCCCGGACCATCAGCAGCACCAGCAGGATCGCCATGTTCTCCTTGAACTTCTTCAGGGGCGGCGTCAGCAGCAGAGTCGATCACCTCCCGGATGGCCTCCTCCCAAGAGTCCGCCGCAATCTGCTCCAAGGATGATGCCGGCCGGATATGCTCCAGGGGGCACTTGGTGAGCTGGCCCTTGAAGGACAAGAAGGCGTTGGCACCCATTCCACCTTCCGACTGCCGTTCGACAGCGACCATGAGTGCAGGGCCATGCCATCGCCGAAGTACAAGACGTCCACGAAGACCAGACTTCCGGGGGTTGTTGTACTTCTGCTCTCGCCAGAAGTAGCAAAGGTCACCTGGCTTGGGGACCTTCTCGTAGGTAGACGATCTCGCTCGTGCCAACTCAGCTCGTCGAAGACCACGGGAAAAATGAAGTCTCACCATGGCAAGCCGAGCTGTTTCACGAAGAGCAACTTGGCGAGCGAGACTGGGCTTGTTCTGAATGAGGGAATGCTCGGCCAAACGACCCGCAAAGTTGTTGAGGATATCGCCGTGTGATGGGGCCTGCCGGCCGGTTACCGCCTGAAGCGGCGTGACGCCCTCCTCATTCACATCGGTGTTGTAGGCCTCCACCGCTTCTCCCAAGGCCAGGCGCACGCCGTCCAAACCGGAAACCGCGTGGGACTTGACAATTGCCCCGAGAATGGCCTTAATGGTGCCACCACTGCGCTCAGCAATGCCATTCTGCCAGGGGGCACCGACGCCGATGTGAAACAAGTGGATTGAACAAGAATTGCAAAACTCCTCAAATTCCCAAGAAATAAATTCTCGGCCTTGATCGGCCACGATTGTCCGCGGCGGTCCCATCACCGGCAACCAGCGTTGCTGTAGGAAGTTCACTACCGCCTCGGTAGATTTGTTCTCCAGGATGTCCGCCATCTGGTACCGAGTGACAGAGTCGGTGATGTGGCAAACCACGTAGGGCACTCGGAAGACATCCTCCACGATCAAGAGGTTGATGTGAGCTCGTTCACCGGCATCTCGAACCGAGGGTAGTCCGGCAGGCCGAGCAGTCTTCGGAGGCCGGCGTTCAGCACATACTGAGCATTTGAGCTGACGCGCTGCCGCCACAGCTTCACGAGGGGCTCCACAAACAACAAGGGCTCGTGCAAGGCGACGTCCACTGCGATGCCCAGTGTTCTCGTGAAGTCGGTACACTGCGTTCCGAATTGCAGCAGGAATGGTCAGCTTCTCGCTAGCCTGGGGAAGATCATCCACCTCCTCGCCCGAAGACGGCTCCGCCTCAAAGTCCGGATCGCCAGGATCGACCACCATCACCTCATTCTGTTCCTGTTCCAGGTTCCGATGGGCCAACCACGTTTCAAAGTTGAACTGGTCCTCCAGCCCTTGCACCATCGCCTGGGCGAGGCGATCGGGGTAGTGTCCCGCCGGCTCTGTGATCTTGCGACCCACGAGTACTGGCGCATGATGATGTGAGCGATCACATTTTCCGCCACGAACCCTGGAAACCAGCGCTTGACTGCTAGTCACCAATCTGGTTGGCTTCTGGTGCAGCTCTCCGCCGGCCGATTTGAGGCCGAAGGCGCACTGGTCGATGTAGACCGAGCGAACCCGCGGATGTTGTAGCAGTCGTTGCACGATCGGCAGCTTCCAAGCATCAGAACCTCGAGGATTCTCCATGATGAAGTGCCGACCTTCACGGAGTTGTAGCAGTGCAACTTCAGCAGCAAAATCAACCAAAACTTCGGCAGCTCGTCGGCGCTCAGCCAGGTCCTTGGCCGGATTCAACCGCATCAGGGCCGACCAAGGTCCACAAGGAAAGGCCAACACCACGCAGTAGGGCTTACTCTCCTTGATCAGATGCACAGCCGCAGAACGGTGGCTGGGACGGAAAAATCCCAGCCAAAGCCCAAGGTCAGGCTCTCCCCAGACCGATGACCTCGCCGACGAGCAGCGCGAGCAACCGGCTCAGTGTCGGTATAGACCTCCGTGATGAGCGGGTGCACCAAGTCCAACTCGGTCAAGAAGACCTCCTGGGAATAGGATTCCATCTCAGCTGACCACATAGTCTCCATGACCTCCGCCATCCGCCGCTGATCAACAGACACCGCCAACTGATCTCGTCGATGGCGCTCCCAGGCTTGGGAGATCATTTGTCGCACGCCCTTCTTGATCTTCGGCTTGCCATCGAGTTTCCATGAGGTCACTGGTTGGGCAGGTGAGGAATCATCTCCTGGTCCTGCACGTTCATCTCCATCCAGGAGTTGGTCCCATCGCTCTGTTGGCTGGCCGCCATTCCAGGCACCTGCTGATTGTTCTGCAGCAGGAGGACGTGCTGATAAACCTGCGTCAGCATGGTCTGAAACCGCTCCTCCTGCCTGGCCATCATGTCCACCACCTTGGACTCAATCTCCTCGACATTCATGACCGCGGGAGATGACGGTGTGGGTGCGACCGCCAGCGACGACAAAGGCTTCTCGCTCACAACCTTGACTGCTGAGGGGCTTGATGCGGGGGCCTTCCCCGCCTTGTAAGTTTCCATGATAATAACCAGAGGGCCACGGATCTTGCTCTTGAGGGGCTCCACCGTGTCCTTGCTGTCCACGGCCAGGTGCAACAGGGTGGCGAGGCGCACGAGGTCGCTCTTGAGTGAAGGTAGCCCGCCCCGAGGTCCAATCATGGAGCGCACCGCTTCCATCTGCTGGCCCTGGGCGAGCAGGGCTCGAGCCTCGGCCTGATGCTCCTCCATTGCGTTCTTCTTGATCAGCGAGGCTTGGCCACGAAGTGCACGAGCTGCCAACATGCCCATCAGAGCCGAGTCCTCCACGAAGGCGGACTTGTAAGCCCATCCGGTCGCGCAGATGACAACAGTCCTTGAGGTTCATGGCCGTGAAACGATCTTGCCCTCGTTGATGGTGACGCCGAGGCCAAGTCTTCTGGCTGATCATAGACTCCGCCTGCAAGCGCCACTGGCTGGTGGACGCTACCGACGGATAGGGAAAGGGCAGCCAGCGCAAGTATGGCCTTTGCACGAGCCATAAAAGGATGCCGCGAACGTGCCATAGAGCTCGGGCGCTGATGCGTAGGCAAAGTCGATGCCATCGCTGAGCGACCAAGGTCACGAGGTCCGCGGCCGGTGTGAGCATGCCGGTTGGTCTCCAACATGCAGCGGGAGGAATTGCAGGCTGGTTGGCTAGGAACATGAGCCGAAGGTTCCGGCGGTGTAGATGAAAACACCGCTGCGCGAAGGCCATGCTCAGTCAACAAATGTTCATGTCTGTGACCTTGAAGAGAGTCCTGCATGGATACCCTTCGCCTTAGCCATTCCTGCCGTCCAATCTGAACCTCCAACACTCCATCAAGTCCAACTCGACGCCAGCGTTCATGACAAGGCGCTGGCCAAAAATTGGGGAGGAGCTTCAACCGAAAATGGCCTGCCAACATCTGTTCAAGGCGAATTGCTCGCTCGTTCAAATATTCGCAACACAATGTACGCCGTGCAAAATCCAGCACAGCCCCAAGGGCATCCAACAAATCTCGCCCAAGCAAGCAGCCCAAAGAACTGACAGGCACAATGGAAACCCAAAGCAGTGCCAATGTAGATCCCACCATAAGGGGGAGGCGCCATCGCTTACTGCTGGAGACGCAGCCACCATTGCCAAATCGAAACATCTCGGATTCATCTTCGCTGCAAACGAGTTGCTGAATCTCCGCAGGGCTTTGGCGCAGCTGCTGCAAATAAGATTCCAACCAGAGGGGGCCTGCACATGTTCGGTTACACGCAGAGTCCAGGGCACCGACCAGCTGTTTGTCACCGTGCAATCCGGGGGTGACCGACTGCTTTTCACTCGAGCTCTGCAAAGCTTGCTCAACGTCAACTACAGCTACTTCATGGACCGGGGTGTGCTCGGTGATCTGCACCTGGTGGTCGGGGTTCAGGTTCTCCACAACCTTCACCTGCTTAACGTGCTTGGTCTTGCCGGCACCCTTGGCGGCTGTGTTGCGGCCGGCGCCAGCACCAGGTCGAGTGCATTCAGGATCCCCAGCCCAATGGCCGCTCTGCCCGCAATCAAAGCAGGGGTGCTTCCCAGAGGCTTTCCGCGTGGCCACCTGAGCAGTGGCTGGGGGTTTCCGGCCACCAGGGTCTTGAGCACGGCCATATCCACGGTCCTTGCGGACCTCGGCAAGCCTGGTCCTGGCCTCCCGCATGGTGACCAGTGTCTTGGCGGCCTGCTCGAAGCCGGCTTCAACGCTATCCAAAAACTCCGGGTCGACGCCTTCCTCCTCAGCGGCCTCCAGCTCGGTGGCCAAGACTTCCGCCTCGGTTTTGATCGTGTCTTCAAGACTACCGGCCACATCTGGGCCGGCACCCTTGTCCTCACCGTCTGGCTCCTCGTCCAGCTCCTCCTCCTCGGCAACCTCAGCGACATTGGCCTGTCGCATGCTCCCGCCGCCAAAACCGCGGCGAAAGCCAGGGCGCTGTTGCGCCGACGAAGACCAGGAAGCGCGCGACGAAGGTGCCGTAGACGCCGATGCCGAATAGGTGTAGCCACCGAACTGCCGGAGGATCCGCCACCAAACATCCGCCTGATGGTGAGCTTTGGGCGAGGAAATTGACGATGCAGGGGGTCGCTCAAGTGGATGTCCTTGAACAGCCGCAGCACCTCGCGCTCAATGGCCGAGTAATTCTCGTTGCCCTGGAGCGCGGTCTCCAACAGCTGCTTCCTCAGCGGGTCCAACCCGAGCTTTTCCTTCAGGAACCATCCCAGTTCACCATCTGGTAGAAGAACTCCTTCAGCACGAAGGTCAGCAGTGAGGGTTCTGAATCTGGTGCAGAACTCCGACATGCGCTCGCCCGCCTTCCGTTTCAAGTCCACGTAGAACTGCTGTCGAAGTTCTCCTCGTTTGTCCAAAGTGGACTGGCCGTTGATGGATTCCAGGGCGTCCAGCAACTTGTTCAGGCCGGCCAGGTAGTCGACCGGGGTCAGCTCCACGTCCTCGCCGGTCTGCGGGTCCACAACCACCTCGGCCGGCTTGTAGGTCAGCTCCGAAGGGTCAAACTCCTCACCGCGCTGTCGCACTATGCCCTGTTGTCGAAGAAGCCAACGGGCAGCAAGGTTGTAGCGAGCAGTACTGGAAGAGACCCACCAGCTCATCTCACGCCTGAACGCTCGCCATGTCAACGGCGAGCCGTCCCATGTTGGGACTCTGGTCCAGGCCCCGGTGCCCTTCTCCTCTTCGGCCATGGCTTGGCCGGCTGTGCTGGTAGAAGAGCAGAAAGAACTTGGCCGCCAAGGGCTTTAGCAAAAAGGCCTGGTACAGGCAAAACACGAGCACGTAGCGGTTCCCGTAGTGCTCGTTCAGGTGTAGGGGCGACAAAGGTCAGCACAAAGATGCAGAAGTGATACAGGGCAAAGAAGGACCTCACCCAGGGGCGGTACCGGCAAGTGAACGAGGCCGACCGCGACAAGGTCCCAGAAGCTGTCAAGGCTCAAACTCTTGAAGTCCTGAATCGGGCCGATCACTTCTGGCGCGTGCCACAGTGACAACCTCAGGCGAGTCTGAGTAGAAGGACAGGAGTGGCGATCACAGCGTAGGGCTTGGCGAGCTCAAAGGTCCTGGCGCGTGCCACGAATCCCCAACCAGGGGCTCCGCTGCCACTATGAAAGCAGGGCCGTGAGGGACCAAAGCGAGGAACCGCACGGGATGGCTGCCTTCTATTTCCGCAAAGGCCAGCTTAGTGTAAGGCCTGGGCGTTGAGCCCAAATGTCAGCGGCATCCTGCCGCACTGTACGACTAAACCTTAGTGAGGACCTGCGCATTGGGCCTGTGAGAGGACCCATGCCAATTGCATCATTTCTCAATGGTTGATCTTTTCTGGTAGACTGGGAAGAAAAGCTGTTCAAAGCCTGACGTCGGCTTCCAGCGCGTTTGTTGAACACATCCGCCATGTGCCGCTGAAATCTGCTGGCTTGGCCCCGGGGGCCCTAGGGCCGGGCTCGAAATTCAAGAGCGTCTCAAAGTTCCCTTCAAGACCAAAAGGGACAGACCCACATGGGTATTTCTTTAAGGGGATCCCAAAGATGGTTCCCAAACGCGACAAACCCTCTTGCGACCGGACGGTGGAAACACAAGGTAAGGTCCACGTCCGCCTGAAGCTGCTTGCAGAATGGACACCCGTCGCCTCTCGCTGGTTTGCGAAGCAGCCAAGGAAGAAAGGGCGAGATTTCTCCCACCCTTGGCCCATCCGATTCCTCCCCTGGTTTCCCGTAGCCGCACCCGCAAGTAAACAAGCGGGCAAGACAAATCCCTTGATGTCCGATTCCCTAAATGCAACTAGAACTGGGTCTGTCTCTTTTTTGATGGTACCCTTTTACGCGCTGGTTTTGAAGGAGAACAAAAGACTGGCCCAACATTCTTCCCCCCCCCCCCTATGATGGCCACTTAGCAGCTATGTTGCGACCTCCTTCATTTCGGGTATTCGTTTTTTAGTCTGCACAATTGGCTCTATCCAGGTGTCCATGGCACTCCACACCCCCCCAAACCCCCTAACCCCCACAACCCCCCCCCCCCACCCCAAACCCCCCACCCCAAACACCCCGCCCAAACCCCCCCCACCCCAAACCCCCCACCCCAAACCCAACCCTACCCCCCAAACCCCCCAAAGCCTCGTCCAGGTCTCCATCCCCGCAGCGCTGATACGCCGGCACCACCCGCAGCTCCGTAGCGCGGCTGCAGAGCGCCGAGGGGCAGGCCAGCTCCAGCCTCACGCGGCGCCGGGCGCTTCGCCCGGACGGCGGGGGTGGAAAGCTTTCCCCTGGCCCAAAGGCTCTGCGGCAGGCAGAACCAATTGCTTTGGTACGATATGGTTTGGTATGGGTTTGCTATGGGTTTGCTCTGGGTTTGCTATGATCTGGTGTTGCTATGGTTTGCTATGGTTTGGTATGGTATGGTTTGGTTTGGTATGGCTTGCTATGGTTTGCTGTGCTATGGTTTGGTATGGTATGGTTTGATATGGTTTGCTATGGTTTGGAGTATGACTTGTTGTTTCTTTCAGGCCCCCAGCTAAGAAGGGGACAGAACCACAAATTAAAACACCTAAGACCCTAAAATTCATCCCGAGGGGTGGGATGAATCCCGGGTTCTCCTTTGAATTTCCGCAGTTGCATTTTCTTAGGTGGCAGAGGCGAGGTTAGTCGTCGGGTGCAACACCAGAAAATCAACCGAGGCCGTTACAAATCCAGGATTCCCATTGTGAGGAAAGGTGTAGGGATACCTGGGCGCTAGGGAAATGCACATCAACAAATGCAATAAGGGATGCCCAAAAACAAAGGACCCACGTTCTGGCAAGCCTGTGTTACCCCCCCTTTCCATGTGAGCTCGTAAAATCAGATCGAATCCATCACTGGGCGCCCCTGCTGCTCGAACTGGCTATCCCCAATGCTGGGCGTCACCTCTGGCAACGGCTCCCAAGATGCGTTGCAGACGTGCAGTACATACTCTGGATACTCCATGATGTCGGTTAGACCATAACTAGGTCCCCTAGCTAGGTGCCCATTTAGCCCCTTTTGTGGTAGGGTTCCCTTGTGGCAGGGCTGTGGGAGGGCTGCGGTTGAAATGGAATCCACGAATCTGTGATACAACAATCAGGGCCTCCCAAAGATGAACCCCCCATATGAAGAAAGGATTCCCTTGTGTCACAGAAATGGGGGAGAAACCCCTGATCCCACAACCCTGCTGTGGATGGACGAAATCCATTTCGAACCATCTAAGAAACCCTGGAAGGATGATTCCCCTGTAAACAAGCAACAAAGACTGGTTTCCCGTGGTTTCAACTTGGTGCAGGATTTCGCCCATCACAGTATACAGTATGGCTGTGTCTTTTGTTGACGGACCCTTTTGGGAATGTTGCAAAATAAATCAACGGGAAACCGCTTCCCGTTCTGCGGGGGTCCCTATTTTGAGACAGAATCGAACGTACACAAAGAACTATGCTAGATCATTCATGCGGTTGCTTCATCTTACCAAACACGATGTATGAATGAACATCCTTCGAGCGCCAAAGGAAGTTTTATGCTCATATCACTGCCGCACAATCCCCAAGCCGAATCGGCAGGGGCACAGCCGGAATGACCCTCAAACAACACGCGCCACTTCAGCTTCGTGGGATCCGAGGTTGTCCAACTGGTTCGGGGAGAATGCAACAATTCGTTCAGGGCGCTGGACAATTGCAACCAGTGGGGTGAAGAAAAAAAACGGAGGACTTTCCTATGGCCAACTCCTTACCGCTGGAAGCCCACCCCACGAAGTCGCGGCTGGTGATTGCACCCAGTTCCTCGTAGAGCCGGGTAGTGTTAAGGACTGCCGAAAATGCCCCCCCCCCCCCCCCCCAATCCGGCCGAGCTGCATAGTACACCGGCGACACGTAGATGCGGAAACCTGTGTCACCTCAGCGGTCGGAAGGACACCAGCCTTAACTGGCTCCTCGCTAGGAGCACCCCTGCTCAAAATCGCACAGCACCGCCCTCTGGCATTCCTCGCCTTCACCAAAGACATCAACAAGAAAAGACGCTGCGCCACATCGAACACCTCCATTGTGTGAAACAGGTCTCCTCAGGTCGCCCTTCAACTTCTGACTCGTCCCTCCAAATGCTCTGGACCAGGGGATCATGCTCAACTCTCGGGCTCAGGGGGCCATGAACGAGCGGGCACGCCTGAGAAGCAAACAACAACGGGGTCGCTTCTCGCGATCAGCTGGACCCCTACAAACGCAGCCCATTTGGGGTCCAGAAGAAAGGGTCGTACTTCCCTGACGAATCAACCAAACCCCCCATTTCATTGTGGTCTTCCTCCAAAACACATAACAAGGCCAGGATGAATCTATCACGATAACTGCTTGCAATCCATAGATTTGTCTCAAAATTGGGGACCCCCCACAAAATGGCAACAGTGTCCTTTTGTTTCCCTTCAAAACCCACCCGCATCCACATGAGCCATGGACAATAATACTTGCACCCATAATTTATTGTTTTGAAAACAAAGGGATATGTTTGGCTCTAAGGTGGTTTCCAGTACCCCCAAACCACTACCTCCAGGGTAGATTGGGGAAAATACCCCTCACATGGTGACTGGCTACATGGTGGCTGTATATCCCAGTAAGCTCCGTAGTAGTTTGGGGTAGTGGATCCGATTGGTAGGCCCCCCTCCTCCTCCCAACTGCGGGGCTTCTAAACCCTTTCTGTATGGCTTTAAAGGGACACCAAGAGGAAACCACCTGGAGGAATTGGACCCGAATTTCGAGATGGAAACCAAAAAAACGCAGTAAAGTTATTTTTCCTCCATGGGAAAAAGTTACCCATACGCATTCAGGGATTGAAGGGAACCCCCCCCCCCCCCCACGTGCTTTTGTGTGTTCCCCCCCCCCCTTCTCTGTGTCAGCGCCCCCCCCCCCCCTCGCGCCAAAGCCACCCAGCGGTGAGGACTCCTCCAGTTCCAAGCACACCCGGTAGTGCCTGCCCTCCGCCAGGGTCTTCGCATCCACCTCGCGGGCTGCGATTGAGACTTGGACTGGCGAGTGACACCCTCCATGCGAGTTGCTGCCCAAGGGGAATCCCCAAGACCAGTGTCCCCGGTGAAAAAAAATCCATCCGAGTTGGGGCCCTTTAACCCCAAGGCCAGTTCATCCGGGGATCCGCGAATGAGAGCCCAAAGGCCGGTTTTGGGAGTGAGCCATCCATCCGAGAATTGGAATCCCCAAAAAAGGTTCATTCCCGAAACCCGGAAGGTCCTTTTCCTGCTGAGCATCAGCAAGTTTCGGGGCTTCAGCCAGGTTCGGAGTATCATCTACGAGGATGTTTAGAAGTTGAGTGGGTGTTTAGAGGACTTTGGGAGGATGCTTTTGGAGGATGACCTGGCGCTGACCATCTTGGGGTGGACCGGTTTGAAGAAGATGTTGAGAAGGATGTTTAGAGGGTTTGCGAGGATGTGTTCAGGATGTTGAGGAGGATGCTTAGAGGATGTTCAGAGGATGTCAGTATTTTAGGATCGAAATCCACGTTGGGAGAGGCCACGAAAATAGAAGGGATATAGAGGGTGGAATCCACTGTCACTTCGGACCAGAGCCTCCGATGTTTTTGAGAGTCTTCCGCAGAGAAACGGAACTTTACCCAACCAAATAAAAATGGACCCGGTATTCCTCAAAGGCCACCCCACCCCACCCGCCCAAAAAAAAAGAGCTTGCTGAGCTGCTGAGAGGATGCTTGGAGACGAGAGGATACTTGGAAGATGTGACGAGGCTGCTTGCAGGGTGCTTAGGGGAAGCTTAGAGGATGCTTAGAGGGTGCTTAGGGGAAGCTTAGGGGAAGCTTAGAGGATGTCTAGTGGAATGTTTAGAGGATGCCTGGAGGATATTTTGAGGATGCCTGGAGGATTTGGGGGTTGACCATTTGTTTGCGGAGGCCACCCAACCAAAAGGGAGTAGAGGGTGGAATCCACTGACAATCTGGACCAGTCTCCCCAGTTCCGATGGTTTTCGAGTGTTCCACCAGAGTTCCCTACCAGCTAAAATGAAACCGGTATTCCTAAAAGGTCCCCCCACCACCAAACAAAATGCTTGGGATTGTCTTTGGCTCCCTTTTTTGACCAAAATGGGTCCCCATATGCTTTAAAACGCCTAACAGCACCCTTACAGTGGGCACTGCCCGAACTGCCCAGTGCGTCTCAGTGACGGTTGCTGTCCACATGCCATCGCCAGCAGCATCCAGAGTCCTTGGAAACACTCCTGGCGCCTCAATCGCTTTGGATTCCCTCACTTCCAGTGGGGGTCAAGGCTACATGATATTTGGGTCTCCAAACCCATGTCTGTTCTCCGGTTTCTTGGAAACCAAAGGGCCAACCTGCTGAGCAATTCCAAGGGAGTCGCCGCCAGTTGGATTGCTGAGTTCGTCTGTGGGTTGCCCCCACGTGCTGGCCGCAAGCGCACAAATGATCTAGATCTTCAACTTGCAGGCCGTCGAAGCTGGAAGCTTCAACTGGACGCGCTTGAAGCCAACCGGGTACGGTTTTTTTCCCCATGACAACCTTGAAGAAGGTAGCAACCTAAAACCAACTTGCCACTGCCATGAGACTGTCAGCTTGCTTCCCGTCTTCCCGTGAGCAAGTCTAAGGGCCTGGCACCACAAGGGTCTGCTCACCCACCAACTCCCCAACCACCATGGCGTCCTCGCACTTCACCGACAGCCTGGGAAAGAAGCGCAGAAAAGGGCCCAAGAGCTTCAAAACTCAGAAAGGGTCGAGATTCATTTGGGTGTGTGTGTGTGTGTGTCTTTTTTGGGGAGGCCTCTTTTTTGTGGATTTTTTGAGAAAGTAAAAGGAACACGACCTGTGCAGGGTTTGTTCTTTGATTTCCCTTTAAACACCACCAAAGAAAGTTCCCCACAAAAAAGACCAACTTATTTGGGAGTCTGCAACAAAATCCTGAGACATGGCCCATGCGCAAATCTCATGAAGAAACCATCTTGAAGGTAAGACGCTTGATATTCGACAAGAAAAAGGGGGGCCAACATGCGAACCGCTCGAAGTTCCAAACTCGAAGGACGGTTGAACGCGCCCAACATATGTCCCAATTTGACCAGAGATGTCTGAATATGTTGATCCGTGCTGTGCTTGTGCCTGTTTGTCAGTGATGGTGGGTGATAGTCCGCTTGTGTGTGTGTGTGGTTTTGTGTGCGTGCTAGAACGAAACAGGGCCCTGTTCAAGCAACAGCAACATGAGGTACCAACCATTGGGAGTGGCCCAAATTTGTTCAGGCACCAGCTGTTTGCCTTTATCCCGCTCAGTTGGGGAAGGCAAAGCAAGCCAACCACTGTGTCGATGAAATGCTATGATGACCAAAGCATCGTACAAACCCTTCAGGCTTGCCGACCAAGGTGCGTGAACTTGCTTGAGCTTGTGCAATTCTGACACTCGAGGGAGATGTTCTGATCTTGTGCCTTCCTTAGAAACCCCCAACGGCCCAAAGCAGCGGCCGATTCTTGGCTGAGTGCATGCCTGCATTATCTGAGAAACTTGCAAAGGGTCAATCCGGTTTCCGTGATCCATACAAAGGCATATGTGTCGCGCAGGCATTCGAAGTGTGTCATGTATTCAGGGGACAGGGGGAAGCAGGACCCTGTTGAGGAACAACATCGGCCGGCAGACAAGATTCCAAATTGTCGTAGTTGCCACCGCTTGCACAGGCGACACGAAGACGGTCATGAGGGTGTCGGCCACATACTGCGTCTGGTGGTAGCCATCCAAATCAATGCAAAGAGTGTAGTACTGACCTGCACAGGTGTGGGGTATAGGATCTTGGGCAGCCTTTGGTGGACTTCACAGTACGGGTTGTTTTGTCCGCCAAAATTTGAACAGCAGGACGAGCAACGGCTCCCTACTATCAAGGCAGGCAATCCCCCTCACAACCCTGAACCGTTGACCTTTGTTGGCCTTTCGGTGGCCGTACTTTGACGTGAGTCTGGCTTTGTCCTGACTCACCACCTCGCGACTCAGGTTCAGTTTGCCCATCTTGATGGATGGGTCTCCATTCAGTCACGCTACAATCTACGCTGCACAAAGGCAATTCGCCTCTATGATGGGTTTCCTTTTGGTTTACAACCGAACCAAAAACCGGCTCCCAAACAAACAGCACAAATCCACAAGGACTTGAAGTTCATCCCCGAAAATCGGTTGAAGCCGAGTGCTTGACGCACGCTGTGCGACCCAGTCTCCAATTGGACCAATGGTTGCCAGCAAAATAGGTCAAACCGCAAACCAAACACTGCTGGCGCTCCTTGCAAAAGCTCAGTTTGAACTTCAGGACCCCGCCAAAGACACAATCCGGTTGGCCCGAGCCTTTTGCCCCTTCGGACAATCACCAAAACCCAGGAAAGAAAATACTAGTGTCTGAAAAGAATAAAAGTGGGCCCGACTCCTCCCCAAAGAGCTCAGCTTTTTGCCGACAGGTCAAACTAGTTCAGGTTAAAGATCCGACAAGCCAAGTCTTGTTTTCCATTTTGCGAGGGATCGAAGACGGATTTCCGTGCACGGACTGCGCCTTGCAGCAGGCTCCGCGTGTCCAGTCGCAGCAGCCAGAGTTGACCCTCCACAGGCCCCGAGGAATAGCCCGAAGCTTGGGAGGCGTAGGCCACAGCGTTCGCTTGCAGAAACCAGCCTCGGAGGAAAGCCAAAAAGGTTGGGCGAAATCGGCATACCGTGTTGAAGGGAAACCAAAGCAAGGTTGCTTCAATGGCTCGAAAAAAAAGTTGAAAAGGGCTGGCCCTGTAGCACTGATGGTGTGTCAAAAGAAGTGATTTTGTCAGAGGGTATGCAAACCGCAGCCCTGGTCCCGGGGTGGAACATCTTCTGCAAGAACCAAAGGGTGAAGGGCCTCAACTGGGCCGAAAACGGGGCAGTGTCCTATGGGTTGGTTGCACCCCTCTTTTGGCCCATGGCTTGGGTCGGAGGTGATGATACCGGCAAGGTTTAAAGAGGGGCTTAGGAAGGGGCGATGAAAGGTGCGTGCGTTGGGTATTCAAGGGGCCTAGGGACCTGGAAGTCTTAGTACCAAAACTGGAAAGTGGAGGCTTTCCCTTGATTGAACCTGGTAAACCATTCTCAGGATTCTTGAGTGTTGTGTGTTCATAGCTCACTCAAACCGAAGAGGCCGCCAAGTACGCGGATATCCCACAAGATGAGAACTACCCGCAGCATACATTGGAAAGCAGTTCTAAGCTCAGCTCATGCTGTCTCTAGAATAGCCCTGCCAGCATGAGTTTGGGTGTCTAGCAAAAGTGCGCAGCTAGCAAAGGCTGTGCAAAGAGCGCAAACCATGACAAAGCAAGCCAGCATCCTCCAAATGCACCCGGCAGACAGGAGTCAGTGTGCTGCATCACATGTTACAACAAAGAAACACATACTCTGGAGGAATCAGATGCCCCAATCAAAAAACCTGGGCAAATTGCCAAAATTCCACACCGAAAACACCAGACATACCGAAAATACGACTTGAACCCCTGAGGATAAAGGGCCTTCACGGGCTTCCGCTCGTCTGAGCTAGGCCCCGGGCAAATGTTCTCCGCTGCCAGGCGAGTCCAGTACCTCGGTTCCGAAGGCTGGGCGCCTTTCTTTGGTTTGGACGCTGGAAAATGGTGGGGGTACTCCTCGTTGCTCTTGTTGGTAGAGAAAATGAGAAATCCCGCCCCAACGCGGACCCAGACAAGTGGCCATAGAAAAAGGGATCGCGCCCTTTGTGGGCGGTTGATTTTGGAGAAACCCAGGGAAACCAACTCCCACAGGACAAAAAACGGAAGGAGGGGGGGTGGTATACTGGGAGGGGGCTTCAAGGCAGCTCTTGGCCGTTCCTCCGGGCTGCGCATAGCCGCGCGCCAGGGCGGCATGAGCGCAGGCGGCGTCGTTGCGGTAGCCTGCCTGGCGGAGGGGCATTCAACGACGAAACAGACCTCGACGGGGTGACTTGGCGGCGGCGGTCAAAACTAGGGTAAGCCAAATAAAAGGGTTGCCCGATCGGAAAATGGAAAGGACTATATGGCTGTGCGTCAAAAATCGGTGCCCAAAATGGAACCCTGGTAAATAGAAGCATGGACTAGAACCTGATGTCCCCTGGTGATTAAATTTTGACCCATACCCATATATACCTGCGGCTCCCTGGTGGCTTGATGTTGACCGATACCCAAAGAAGAAAGGAGCCCAACTGATGCTGCAGATGGAGTCAGTGTTCGGCTTGGCGTATCCTGCCATGGCTCATGACTCTCACTTCCCCACTCCCAACAACATAGCACCTGCGAGCGACACGTCGGGGTGCCATGTTCTGCTGGCGGGATCTCAACGGTGCGCCTGACTGGTCAGGTTGTCGAAGCTGTCGAGCAGGGCGATGTCTTGCCAAACCACCAGGTGTGTGGTGCCCGTGAACCTGAGACGTGGCCAAAAAAGGGGGGCCCGTTGTGCCAGCAGCATGATGGCTTCCTCTGGTTACCTACTGGTGTAAGCCCTGATTTACAACTCACTCCGGTCCCTTTTCAGGGATGTCTTTCCATGGAAATCGGGCGCTGCATGGTGTACTTCCTTCTTCGGGGTTTGTGGTATAGTGGTACATGGACTCAGCATCTCCAAGTTCCGGAAGGCAGGCAGCCCACTATGAAACAAGCCAATGAGATGATTTGCCCGGCCAATCCGCGCTTCGGTGCGGATTCCTCTCGATCCGTGACCTTTTAGAAGATTTGTTTTTGGGGGGACTATGCATTTTTTAAACTGGTGGTAACAAGCAGGAGTGGTCAGTTGCGTTCAAGTACTCGCAAAGGGGATGTCATACCCAAATGACTTGCACGTGGATCCAGCTGCCAAACTCGCAAATTGCCCACTGCCACTGCGACCACTGGCTGGAGCCCCGCGCTCCGAGTTTTTGCCGCGGGGCGTATTTGGCGTGGTGCGCTCCGCGTAGATCTCGGAGACCCAGCCATCGTTGACGGAGGAGTCGCAGGTCGTGGCCAGGTGACCGCTGGTCAGTTCGTTGCACCAGTGCAGCTGGTGCACATAATTCCTCGGTCGAAAATGTGCGGGTACCATGAATGACATGGGAAAATGAGAGGACTCCCCTGCTTTTTTTGAAAATAGGGGACTCCCCTGTTTGTTAAAAAAAAAAAAATCTAGCACGTCCCCATGGCCTTCTCAAATTGACCTTGTTCTGGGAGTAGGACCCCACCCTTTTTCATCAACGATCCTGTGTTCCCACGTCTTTCCCTGCCAAGGCGGTGGGTCACAAAAAATTGGGACAACCGGCGCGTACCACTCGGAAGAATTCAACAAGATGCCCCCAATCGATTTCAAGAGTTCCATCTTGCCGTGCATGACTGCAGTGATATGGGAGCATAGAAATTAACTTACCGTTTCGAGGGACCCTCTGTTAGGTGCCATGTGGGAGGGAGGGCGTTCAGATCAGTTCCCTTGGAGCAAGATTGCGTGCACAAAGGTCGAGCGGATCAAAGCGCAGAAGGCACGTCTGCCGAGTCACTTTGAGAAGTTCTGAACGCCTTGCATCAGGAGGTCCTGAGGCTGGAACACATTCCCGGGGCCTGGTGATATATCTCCCTTGCACATGTGGGGAGTCGCTGTTATCGGTACCAAATCCATGCCTGCGAAACTCGCTGGGCTTGAAGCAGCATTCGATTTGCATGCTCTGAAAACTGAGCCGCATGTCGCCTCTTCACAATCCCCTCGCAAAATGGAACCTGGCCGTGTTTGGACGGCCGCTTTCATCCACGATCTGATTGCAAGGGACCTTCTGTCTCGTTCACCAAGGCGATGAGAGAATGCATCAGTCGCATCTCCGGATTGACAGCAAACTTGCAACAAACAGATCAGATCTGAACGAATCCCTTTTCGGTTCAGGTGTCAACAACTCCGGCATGTGAACGTCTCAAATCCCAGGAAAGGGACTCCTTCGCTGACAGCTAAGATCCGGGAAGCCAAGACAGCCCAGCATGCAATCACGTATTTTGCGAAAGGTCTTACGTATTTTGATGAAGGTCTCACTCATGCTCAAAAGAAAGCTAGAGGCAAACCTCAGACAGCTCCTCTGTGTCGTTCTCTGGCCACCAGCCGAAGTCTGCCTGCGCACGTCGGAGAGAAACCAGCATGGGGCGGGATCCGGGTGAATCCTAACGAGAGAAGACACCAAGCGAATATTGCGAATTCAACCTGGTCTGAACGGAATCCAGCATTTTCCGATTCCCCTTGGTTTCCTTGCGAAACCTAAAAATCACGGGCTTCATAACTACCAAGTCCAAGTAAGGGTTCCAGCTGCCAAACCACCTTCATGGGCCACTGCTCGCAGATTGTGGGGATATCATTTGCCCAAACACCGATGGTTTTGGGGTCACCTTTCTCTTGCTCATCCAACCAATTGCAAACACACAATGAGCTGGATGCAACTTAAGGCACTCAGTCTTGTGGATAAAACCCAAAGGTTCCAAAGGCCCAAGGCTCAACCAAGTCCTGGCCTGAAAAGAAGCTCCCTTCAAGTTAGGTGATCCACTTGGGCCCCAAAACCAACGTGTCCCCAAATTCTCAGCAAAGACACACCTTTAAATCACATGCTGGGACCTGGGTACATACGAACTGTGGCATCTACGAACGCCCGACTGTGTACATATATATATATATACATACATACATATATTTGAATCACGGCGGACCAAAAATAACATGACTAAAGACCCAAACCTTGGGAAAACGAAATAAATCAGGAAAACCACCCAACCAACCTCTCAAAACCACTTTGGAGCCCAGGGAAACCAAAAAGGCTACAGCAGGGTGAAAGTAGATGGGACAACTTCCTTGTGGGCAAGAAGGGAATGACTAAACCATCGGGGGATTGCGCCATCTACGTTCACCCAAGCACAAACAGCTGCCGAATTGGGGACATCATTTCAAAAGGGTAAACCCATAAATTCGAGCACATCAGAGCATATGATTGGGACGTCCACTGCTCCATTGCCTCTTTGGCCTAAACGCGCCACAAACCCCGCGAGCGACCGAGCGACGCGCCGCGGACCTCCGGGCGCGCGAAGCAGGCCACGTTCACCACCGCCGCAGCGGAGGAAGCCACCACCGGCGATCGCAGGCCAGCCACCTGGCGATGCAAGGATCCGATCCGAGGCCGGCTGCCAAGCCGTTGACCCAAGAGAATTCTACTGAACCTGTCCACCCTTGCTCTGGTGCCACAAAAAAACTTGGTTTTTTGCCAGCCCTCTAATAAAAGTGAACAGAACACACAAAAAAACACCAACCTAAAAAAATGGCAACAACATTGAAGGAACATCCTCCGACATACATCCGCAGTGATGTCCAAAGGGTCCCCGAGTTAAAACGCATACCTAGGAAAAGCAAACCCCTGCAAGCTTACGTGGACCCTCTGAAAAGAAGAAGGAGAAACCCCCCCCCCCCCAAAAAAAAAAAGCCCTTGCTTTGGTTCCATGTCAATTTGAAGGAGTGTAAACCCCCACTTGATTTAGGGGATCCCTAGAAAAGTGGCCTTGACCGAACGGAAATGTTGGTAGACCATAAGTCCAGCCTCTCCCCGCTGGACACGTCGGCTGTAACTCTGGCCTCTCCCCACCCCAAATTGAAAATCATGAGGCAAAGCCACACACACCAGTTATACAATGACTTTTGTCCAAGGAAGCCACTGGAATTTCAAGAAAAGGCAACCGCAAGCGATGTGGACAGCTTCCCTATACATTCACTGGGGAATGGGGATTCCGACTTGAGCACCACGGTCCCTCTGTGTTCCCTTCAAACATCACCGCAACCGGAAGCTCCCTGCAACGTGGCCCAAAGGTGACGCTTCAATCACCCCACTGGGCAAGTAGAAGGCACCGCAAAGGGAAACTCACAACGGGAGCAACCCCTTGAAATCATGTCCCTGTCGTCTAACTTCATCATGTCCTCATTCACTATGATGGCTTCAGAGTTTTGCCCCGAGAAACCCCGCAACCATCCGGAAAACTCGGGCCGCGGCTGGAGAGATGTACACGGTGTGCCGCGTGTCGCCGTAGTATCTCGTGGTTCCCGTCCCGTCCTCAAATACGCCGCGAAAAGGGCCGTCTCGTAGCGGCAAAAACTCCATTGCCCCCAGTGAACATCCCGATCTCCACTAAAATAGACAAAAATGGGTGGTGCACCTACCCCAAAAGGGGATCGGAGCCCCTATTAAAAAAACAGAGTGTCCATGGATCCATGGGTAAGGGCATCCATTTTGAGCATAGCCGGAACTGTTGACGTGTTTCGGGGGGGGAGGGGGTCCAGGAAAGCAACACAAGAACTCATCCAAGGTCACCAGGGAATAGCTCCGAAAATCACAACGTGAAACCATAACGCCGGTCCGATCCCACCGGGAGATTAGAATTGGGTGTTTCTTAGATATCATATGGACATTGGCTTGCAGGGTACTGACCATGGCGACCTCTTATACTTTGGAGGTCCACTGCACGATCTGATCGGCACGAAGCCTTGAGCATTTGAGTGACAACTACCCCGCACCCCGCACACGCACACACACACACACAAAAGAAAAAGCATGGAAGGAACAAGCATAAGATAACTGGCCAACCAGCTGTATGGTAGCGCAAAGCGTTGTCTTTTGTGCAGCCCCCCCAACTAAAAATGAACAACCCCCCCCCCAAAAAAAAAACACTAAAATACGCAACAACGGTGTGAGGTGAATATACTACGAATCAAGCTTGGCTCCCTCCGGCGTCGAGGCGCTGTGTCCAAGCAGAGGCGGTAGTAGACGCCGGCGGTGAGGTTGGCGGCATCAAAGCTGAAGAACCAGTCCCCTGCCACGCACAAATAGAGCGAGAGAGGGGGAGGGAGAAGGGGAGGGGAGGGGAGGGGCGGGGCGGGGAGGGGAGGGGAGGGGAGGGGAGGGGAGGGGCGGGGCGGGGAGGGGGGGGAGGGGAGGGGAGGGGAAAAAATAAGTAATAGGGGGCGTGTAGGGTAGGGTATTTTCAGTTCAGGGTTTCAGGGTTCAGGGATGAAATTAAACAAGCAAACCATTTAGTTCAAAACACCAAGGGGGATTGTGGGGAATTTTTCTAAATTTTCTTAACATGTTTAACATTTTTTTCATTTAATAACAGTCTAAGATATTGACATTTTCAAGGTTCGGGTTTCAGACAATTTTTAAGCTTTCTGGGGGATACAAGTGTTTAATCATATTATATATTAATAATATGGTTAAACTAAATCACTTATGCTCTCCATTTTCCTATTCCATCCCACCATTGTTCAATAACTTTGAGTTGGTTTAAGCAATCCTCACCTGTATCATTCATTTCATCCATTGCTATTGATAGAATAGTAAGGTTTGTTGCCATACAAAAGTGTTTTCTATATTTGTTTAATTCTTTTCCTTTCTTAATGATGTATGCTTTATCAAGTAAGTTTTTATACATCCCTTGGACAATGTCTAGTCTCATATTTTCACGAATCTTGTCAATGTTCAATCCGCTTTGTGCTCGTAATCTCTCTAAAACATTATCCCAAAACATATCAAATGATGGCGGTGGTAAAGGGTGATTATTAATAAAGTTAATCAGATTTTGTTCCATTTCCTCTTAATATATTAAGGTTTTTTTATATATTGCCACTTCAATGCTTTCAGAAAATCTCTACACATTGAAACACTAAAATCCCTACAAGAAACATAAGCATCATTGTTATGGTAAAGCGAATTATAATGAAACTGAAAAGCACTATCATAATAAAACACTAACATATTATCACGTCCATATTCAGTTCTCAATGCAATGTCTAAACCTGTTGTAAAAATTGTCCGTAATGACTTTTTGGTCGGACATTTATTTAACCTCGTCATATACCAAATCCACTTATCCATCTCTTTTAAGTTGTCAGGTTCGTTTTTCATTAAATGTTTTGTAATGGTGCATCTTTTACAACTTACAAAACTCAAAATATTATCAATGATACAGTCAGGTAATATGTCATTTGCTTTTTTAACTTTGTTGTTGAATATCTTACAACCACGACATTTTACAATTTATTTTGTCAATTCTGCTCTGATACACTTGTTCATTTTTCTCTTATTATTTGTAAGGGGTCATTTCTTTAAGTATTCTTAGTTTTTTGGGGTTGGTATTGTGGGTTTCAGTTTCATTATTTTATGTCTAAATCATGTGTTATTTCTTATATATTAATTCACGGTATAATGATTGAATTGGTTTTATATCGTCCTTTTTGTTTTTGTTGTTTTTCCATTTATCAAACATATCTTTGTATTTACTAAATTCATTTTTTGATATTTTCCCTTTGTTCAATCCTTCTTTGAATGCTTCGTCCAACAGTTGTATGTTCAGTCTTGAGGGTGCTGTTTTGTCTTTTTGTATTGTCTTTTTTGGTTTGGTTATTTCAGGTGTCTTGTCGTCTTTATCTTTGTCAGGTTGTAATCCAGATGATGATGCACCTTGCGCTATTTCAGGAGTGTGCTGTATTGCTTTTAGCATCTTCTTTTTTTCTTCTTTGTTCGTTTTACTTTTTGCTTTTGGTCTCATCTCTTCTGGTGCGTCTCGTTCTTGTCGTTTTTGTGCGTCATCTCTGATGCTTTCTATCGCCATTGTCTCGCTTTCATCCATTGTTATTCATTCCAATGACGCCTTTGCTTTTGCTTTTGCTTTTGCTTCTGCTTTTTTCGTTTCTGATGATTTAATTACTTTTGCTACTGCCTCTGGCGACTGAGAAGAACTTGAAGCAACTGTTGCGTTAAGATTTGCCATATCTTGAAATGCTTGTGTTCCTTGAAATATATTTGCTAAATCTTGACCTAAACTTAAATCAATTTGTTTCATTCTTTGTAATCTTTGGTTCATATCATCAAAATGTTGTTGTCTAACGCTTTGAGAAACATAACTGATTTGTTGTTCGTGTTGTTCTTCTGCTTCGTCAATTGTAGCATCCAGCGCTTCTGTTGCTTCATCTCTTAAATCATCCATTTCATCGTCCTTCGCTATATCAAACTGTTCAACGGTTTTAGGTTGTTCTAATATGTTTTGAAAGTGTTGTTGTCTCAAATCTACGGTATTAGTATCATAAACTGTTCCTAACAAACTGTCGCGAAAATAATAAGCGTTTCTGTCTCTTACATCTCTTATATTCTTATTTCTATATTCTTCCTTTGTAATTTCCTTGATGAGTTCATTATATGACGGTCTTAATCTTAATTGTGATTTTAGCGTTTTAATCTGGGCATTGTCTAATCTCATTATTATATGAAATTAATTAGATTATAAATTTGTTAGATTAACAAGTTTGTTAATCTAATAAATTTATTGGCTTTCATAAATGAAATTAACAAATTTATTAATCTAATATAATTAATTTGTTAAAAATCAAAATCTTGTCTTAATTGGTTAATTATTCCTTTCTTCTTCTTAATCATTTCCGAATAGGTTTTACCTGTTTCACTTGATGGATGATGTCTCAATTTTTCACCTTCCAACCTTTGGATTTCATTAAAATACGCCTGTGCTTCATCTTGATATCTTCTTCTATTTTGAAATATAGCGTAATCTTTTTCAGCGTTATGAAATTCTAACTGTTCCTTCATTTCTTTCAGATATGTATAATTTGGTTGATGTGCTTTGTTGTCTCCATCGTAATAGTAATGGACATTAGATTTATATTTTTTGCTTGGTTTTGTTATGGGATTATAAAATGTGTTTGATGTTGGTAATTTACCTGCTTTACCATTCTTTGTAAGTGTTGATGTTATATTTTCAAACTCTTGTCTATTAGAAAGCATTATATAATTTAATTAGATTAAATAATTTTACTTGCTAAATTATTATTTTTCTGTTTATTGTTATATTATCGCTCTACCTTCATATTATTATATCTATCTTTTGCAGTTTCAAATACCTTATTAGCTGTTGTTTCTAAATGCTTTTTCAATCGTTCTTCAACTCTTCTTTCTATTTCTTGTTCATCCACTTTTGGAATATCGCTTTTTACTCTGTTGTAAACATCTTCTTTGAATTCTTCTGCTTGGACTGGATTGATGACCTTTTTTCTAATTGGTTTGTTTAAATCTATAACTTTGTTAGTGCCCTTCTTCACTCCTCGGCAAGCGTGTTTATACTTATAGTTGTAGGCAGTCATTAAAGTTCCACAAGTAGGACAATTCATTTTCTCCTTCATTTGTTTTTTAACAGTAAACTCTTTTTCAACTACTTCATTATTTTCAACAGGTTTAACTTCATCAACTACTTCATTATTCTCAACTGGTTTAACTTCTTCAACTACTTCATTATTCTCAACAGGTTTAACTTCTTCTACTGCTTCGTTATTTTCACTAACAACATCTACCACCTCTATTTTACTCATATATCTATATTATATAATTATTTTTATGATGAATTATTAAGTCTCAACAAATGTTAAACTAAAACTACTGTCCGCTCCGTGTAAATCTACAGTTTTTCCATAAGCATCAACATATTTAAAATGTAAGCGTCTCAAGTGTCTCATTGAAACATCATTAGCGTCATTCATTAAAATCTCATTATCATAGATTACATTACCAAATCCAGCAGTAATAGGAATTTTCTTTAATACACGGGCAACTCCATAAGGTGCTAATTGGTTTCCATTTGTTAAACTATCACTGGTTAAGTAAATATTTTTCATTGGTAATAAATTAACAAAACCACTAACGAAAGGGTCAGGTGCAAAATTGATTTGTTCAACAGTGTTAGACAAAACATTGTTAATGGACATTGTGTGACTTCTGTCATAATCAATACTAAAACCATAGTTAGTTTGCAATTCTTTATCTGTATGAATTACGAAAAAGTAAGAAACATAATTCACAGTTATAGTTATAGTATTTGTTTTTAATGAATAACTACAACTAAAAAAGTCGCTATTTCCATCAGTTCCATTAGTAGCAGTATTCAATTTGTTTTGTAATTCGGTTGCTAATTCACTACCTACATAACTACCTTTATCTGGTGCTACAATAAAATAATATACTGGCGCTCCTGTTAATATTCCTCCTAATGTTAACTATAATCTATTATTTACATTTTCTTCAATAGGATAAATAGAATTAGGTAGTGATAATTCGTGAAGATATAGTTTTGTATTTGCTCCTGTTTCTTGGGTTTCAGGTAAATCTACCACAAAGTCAGAAGTGCTTACACTGTCATTTAAATTTCTATGTCGTGTGTCAATATATATTTTACGAAAGTTCATTATATTAATTAATTAGACATTTTATAATTTAATTATATATGAAAAATAAATTTAGGTATTATTTAAAAGAAGGAAAATTAAAATCGTATAATCCACTTCATCAAGGGCATAGTGAAATGTATAGAAAAATAATTAATGAAATTCAACAAGAAAAATCATTATTCAAACCTAAATATAATAATAATTTATCTGACACAGAAGGATTAAACAAAGCATATACAAACGGTAAAGGTTTCTTTATTGATGGCAATAAATTATATGTTGCTGGGACATTTGGTAAAAATAATATTATATCAAATATTAATGATATTTTAAGTGATATTACAATTCCGTTCGGTTTAAGTTCATACAGTCAAAGGTATAGAGATATTAGTGATATACTTGATGAAAACCATAATATTAGTGAAGTTATTAGTCATAGTCTTGGAGCATCAGCATCATCAAAATATTTACAAAATAACCCTGATAGAAATATTCGTTTGACAACTTACGGCGCTCCGTTTGTTTCAATGTCAAATAAAAGTGATGATAGTTATACTAATTTCAGAAGTATATTAGACCCAATATC